ACATTATCATCAATAGGGGAAGTCTGTCCTTCTATTGACTATGACAGCTAGGCATGCATCAGGTTGATATCCATCCACAAAGATAATCTAGCAATCAGAACAGGCTTTAAAGTGCTCTGGTAATAAAAGATCTTTACTCTGTAATTTACTCAAGTTAGATGTTTAATAAAATGAGTTATGGCAAGAGGAGTTCTAGGCCCCAGAATTGGGTGGGTATATAGGCCCCACAAAATTATAGGCATTTGGGGGCTCCTGAGAACTAACAGGGATCTGTGCCCAGGGAATGAATCAGCAACACTTTTGTTTCGTCTAAAAACTCCCCCTACAAACACCCCTTGATCCGCTGGGCTGGCCCCTGGAGCTCATGTTGAACTATATGACCTGACTACAGCTAAGTGGACTGGAGATCAGCACAGAGCTCTAACTGGGCAAATCTGATCCTCTCATCAAGAATTTGGAATTAGGGGGCCGGCCTGGTGGCGCAGTGGTTAAGTTCGCCGGTTCCGCTCCTCCACAGCCCGGGGTTCGCCGGTTCAGATCCTAGGTGTGGACATGGCACCGCTTGGCACGCCATGCTGTGGTAGGCGTCCCACGTATAAAGTAGAGGAAGATGGGCATGGATGTTAGCTCAGGGCCAGGCTTCCTCAGCAAAAAGAGGAGGGCTGGCAGTAGTTAGCTCAGGGCTAATCTTCCTCCAAAAAAAAAAAAAAAAAAAAGAATTTGGAATTGGGTCCAAAGAAAGTTGAGTTAGTTTCATCATATAGCTGCACCTGCAAAATGTAACCCTGGAGCTGCAAGGCCACCGAGTCCAACTTAACCGAGGAGTAGAGACAGCAACCCACAGAAAGAAAACTATGGAGCAAATAAGTATGAAAGAAGAGACCAAAGACACAGAGATCCCCGATGGCTTTCAGTTCCTCGGTTAAGCTCTTCCCTGAGGATTGGCTGTGTTCCTCCTGTTTTGGCTCCATAAGATGCTCAGCATCCTTATAGTAATGTTGCTTAAGCTATTTTGAGTTAGTTTCTGTTACTTGCAATCAAGAACTCCTTAAAAACACGTACACTGGGAAATAATATCCACAGATTTATCTTTATTAATCCAGCCAAAACCGTACCCTCGTAATGGCATTTATTTTACTCGTTATGCTGAAGCTAAGTTTGTATTAAGATTTAAACTTACATTCATGAATAGTTTCCATCACACTCAGTTTTGCATATTGTCTTGCTGACTTTAGCCAGGTGTCTTTTCACTTCCCAGGAGTTTTAGGTAACCTAGAAGCTGAAACAATGTGATATTCCCATTTGTACAAGAATATGACAAACAGATTGATTTCTTTCTGTCGACAACTTTTTAGTAGGAGATGAAGAGGGAAACTTTTTCATGGGAAATTGGGAGTGTTCAAAAAGATCTTCAGGCAGCTGCCTTCATTTTAGTTTTTTATAATACCTTAATTTCACCAATATAGTTACCAATGGGCTCAGGAATTCTTAAGTTGAAAGTTAAGATTGAGGGGCTGGGGGCCAGCCCAGCAGCATAGTGGTTGAATTTGTGCACTCCACTTCGGTGGCCCAGGGTTCGCAGGTTTGGATCCCAGACATGGAACTACACACCGCTCATCACACTGTTCATCAAGCCATGCTGTGGAGGCATCCCACATATAAAATAGAGGAAGACTGGCACAGATGTTAGCTCAGGGAGAATCTTCCTCAGCAAAAAAAAAAAAAAGAAAGAAAAGAACTGTACTTGTCAAGCGTCTGTCTGACATAGATATAATAAGGATCTAGTGGCAATTTTTATAATAAATCCTTAAATGTCTTATCTTTAGACTCAAAAATAGAATATAAAGAGCAATTCTAATAAATGTCTCTGCATCACAGAGAGTTCATCTTGCACACCCCCTGAGGTTGAACACTGCTGCCTCAGAGTACAAATAAAAGTTTCCCTAGGACTTTTCCTATAACTTGCTCTTCCAAATAAGAGATTATAAATTATTGGAGTCCAAAATTTTCTCTTTGCTTCACTGAAGAGCGATCCATGGGAAAAAATTCTTCCAAAGCATATTCTCTTTATGAAGGATGTAGCAACACCATGCCCTGGCACTGAGATCATCAAGAGAAAAAGACATATTTCATTTGTTGAATTGAGAGCAGGCCTCAAAACAATAAATGTGCTCTCTGGAAGGAAGGATATAAACATTAGGCATATTAAATATCCTTGTTAGGAAGCCAAATCTAGACAGAAAGGGTCTGTGAGTTCAGTATGGTCCTCTGAACACTCCCTCAGTTTAAAAGGGGTCCATCCTTTTCTGAGGAGGGACCTAGAATCTATTAGGTAGCATGGTTTGAGTTCACAGAGCAGGAAACATTGAAAAGAGGTCTGTGAACCTTGCCAACTAGTCTCACAATAAAAAAATGTAAAAATAAAAAGTCAAAGGGTGAATTGAATTTTTTAAAAATTAAAGTCATGTAAAGACTAACATTTCCAACATTTATTGCATACCTACAGTGTGTCAATGACTGTTTTAGGACTAGAGATATACTAGTGGGAAAAAAACCCCACAAAAATCCCTGAGCTGTGTGCTCTGTGGAGCTCATATTCTTGTGGGAAGATACATACACACACACACACGTATATATATGATAGATAAAAATAAGTTAAAAACACATGTATATTGTCAGATGGTGATAGTGATAAACACAACAGAGAAAGGGGAGGGAAGACAAGGGGTACAAGGCAGGGAATAGGTGTGGAGCAGCTATGAGGGGAGTGACCCAGATAGATAACTGGGGGATGAGCATTCCAGGCAGGAGTGACAGCCAGTGCAAAGTGCTATGGCCAAAGAGAACCAGGACTGTCTGAGGAACAGCACTGCTGCTGCATTGGAGCGAGCAGAGGAAGAGAGAAGTGGGATATGCAATAAATGGATGAAAGTATTAAAAGTTTAAAAAGATGCTTAAAGACTAAAACAAAATCATAAAAACAAAAATTTTAGTGATATGACAAAAATTCCACTCAACAAACAGTATTCAGCATCTACTGTATAGAAGGCATTGTTTTATGGGTTTCAAAACCAAAAAATATTCCTGCTCGTGTTTTAGCAGAATGTAAATTGTGAGATAAAATGGAATAAAAGAAGAGAATACAAAATAGAACAAACCTAAAAATTAAGAATTATTTTAAATATATGGAAATATTAAATTATTTACAATAATTTTAAACTACACAACTAAACATTTACAGAAATAAAACAAGATAAAAGATTTGAATCTACATAATTAACAATATGAAAGATTAAGTGGTAGAGGAACATGTTAAGTAGAGACATGATAGAAAATATTTTGTAAAAGACTCAAATCTAACTTCTAGAGATGAAAACTACAGTGGCTGAGATGTAACATACATTGAATAGGATTGACAGCAGATCAGACACTGCAGAAAAAGGTGAGTGAATTTGTGGACATAGCAATAAAAACTATCCAAAATGAAACAGGGAGAAGAGTCTAAAAAATTCAACAGAGTATCAGTGAGTTCTGGAGGGCAATGTCAAGTAGCATAATATATGTATAGTTGGAGTCCTCAAAGGACAGGGGTGAGGGAAGCAGAAAAAATGAAAGCCAAAATATTTTCCAAATTTGATGAAAACTAGAAACCCACAGATCCAAGAAACTGAACAAATCCAAAGCACACAAAATATGTAGAGAAATACATCAAGGCGAATCATAAACTGTTCAACCCAGTGGTAAAGAGAAAATGTGCATGGAAGAGCACTGGAAATTGTAACTACATGAATAAACATGTATGATTATTTTCTTGTTATTTAAACCTCTTTAAAAGATAATTGAGACTTTTCTGGTCCTGCATGTAAGAAGCTTGAAAGTCACTACTCCATCATAAGAACAAGTAAAAAACTGAAACCCTGAAAAATCAAAAACTCTTCTTAGATCCATAAGAGAAGTGAGGTTACAGGGCCAACTACTACCCCACAAACTGGAGACAAGGGTCATACTGAGAATCACAACTTACCAGAGAAGAAACTCACGAGCTGAAAACCCCCACAGGAACTGGTGCCGGGGCAGGGAAACCTGAACTGTAATGACAAATTACTGAAGACTCAGTGTGGGCACGTCTGAAAAGATGAACTCCAGAGGGACCACTCACACTTTTGTGAGTCTCACCAGGTCCTCACGGTGAATATTAGAGAAAAATTCCTTTGTGCTTCTGGCAGATGTTAGGGAAGTGGAACCATTTTGAAATACACCAGGGCATTCTGCTCTTCTTAACATGGTCTACCCTCAGGTGAAACTATTTAACCAGAGTCTAACCTGCTGGAGTTTTATCAGGGCCTAATCGACCTGGGGGAAAGGAAATCACCTCCAGCTGGCTCTAAGTTTAAACTGACTTTAAACTTCATGTGGAAACACAAGAGCCCAAACAACTTTGAGAAAGAAAAAACTGGACGCCAAACACTGTCTGATTTCAAGACATTAAAAAGCTACAATAATCAAGATACTGTAGTATTGTCATAAAGATAGACAGATCTGGCAACAGAATAGAAAGTCTTAGACCTACACATACAAGGACAACTGATTTTTGACATAAGTGTAAAGGCTATTCAGTGGAAAAAGAATAGCTCTTTCAACAAGCGGTGCTAGATATCCATACGCAAAAAAAGTTTCAAGATCCACACTGCACCATATACAAAAATTAGCTCAAAATGGATCAAAGGCCTAAATATAAAATCTTCGTTCTAAAACGTCTAGAAGGAAACATAGGAGAACATCTTTGTGGTCTTGGGTTTGGCAGAGTTCTTAGACCAAAAGCACGATCCATACAAGCGCCCTGAGCCGCCACAGAAGCCCGCTCTTTCCATTCCACCTGGAGCCGCCCGCTCCGGTCTGTCCCCGCCCCGGCCCCGCCTCACCCCGGCCCCCCCCCCTCTCCCCGAGCCTGGCTGGGCGCGCGCCCGCCCGCTTCTCCACCCGGAAGAGCCGCCCGAGCCGCCCGCCAAGTTGAGGCAGTGCGCGGCCCGGCGTCCGTCGGGAGCCCGCGCCGGGCTGAGCCGCCCGTGTGGCGCCTATTTCGCCCTGGCGCGAGGCGGGCCCGCCGGAGTCTGCGCGCCCCCGCGGCCGACGGCGCCTCGGGCGGCCCCGCGCACGCGCCCCGCCCCGCCCCCACGGGCCTCCTCGCGCCCCTGGGGCCGCCGCGCGACCAGAGTTCTCCGCGCCCCCCGACCTCGGGAGCAGCGCGCCCCCGGGGACTTGACCCTGCGCCTCCGCCGGTAAGTGACAGCCGCTGCCTCGTTTCCCCGCTCTTTTTTTTTTTTCTCCCGCCATTCGTCCCAAGTCTCGCCCACATCTGGTGAGTTCCAAAACTGTTCAACTCCGGGGCCGGCCCGGCGCCGTGCTGCCCGGGAGCCGAGGCCGGGCATGGTCAGAGCCCTGCGAGGCGTGAGGGCCGGGCTGCGTCCGGAGTCGGGAGTTTGGAAAGCAGTCCTCTGAGCACGTCTGTCCCCTTGTGTTCCAGCGCCCGGGGACAGCCGGCTGGTGGGCGGGCGGGAGGGGCGCGGAGAGGCCGCGGGCGAGGGCGGGGCGGGGCTGGGACGCGGCGCCCCGGGGCCGCCAGGAGGGGGCGGGGCTCCGGGCAGGTGCGGCGGCGGAGGGGCGGGCGGCGATTCCCGGCGATCCAGCTGGAAGTCTCCGCTCAGCCATCTGCAAGTCGCCGCTTATCCGTCCGCCTAGCATTTCTTGTGGGCCTTTCCCTTTGGTCAAGAGGGTAAAGTAGCACAACATGACTTTATTTTGACCTCAAATATTCAATAAGAAAAAGAAAGAACTTGTAAGTCGTAAAACAGTAATTGTGGGCATGTTTATAGGGTTAGCAAACTGCTCAGAAACATTTTGATCAGTTTTGCTCAGATACTGAAAGTGAATGCTGTTTTTCAGAAGATGCTGTTTCAAAAAAGACGAGGTGAAATTTAGTCTGACCCTAATTTGAACCATGAATTCTGCAGCTGCCCCCTTCCTGCCCAAATTCAATATGCATCTATAGAGTCTTAGAGATTCTCTTGTAGCCACTCTTGGAAGTGCAGGTTGGTTTGTTTGTTTTTGTCAAAGGTCGTATCCTGGAAATATCTTTTGATTAGTTCCCTCCTAAGTGCTTTTTCTGCTTTACACTTGGCTGAATTTGTCTTACCTAACCAAAACAAATTACTTATTAATGTAGAGGCCATAATCGACGTACACTCATTCTCCTGGATATAGAGATACTCACCTCTTAATCTCACACTGGCCTCCTGTAGTTAGGATTCTTGGCCTCAGTGTGGTATGCTTTCCATACTCCTTTCAAATCTTCCAGAATAGTCATTCCTGGAGAAGGCAAAATATTGCTAAATAAATAGTGTGACATATTTAGGATGCTAACTGTGACCTTCATAACAGTCTTCTTTAATCATCTTTCTAGTTGTTGAGCCTAGTACAATAAATGTTGGTTGAATGAAATAAATCAGATTAAAGTACACTTGTCCTCCGGTGCCCTCTCTGTTTCCAAACCAAATAAGAGTTTCTTAGATGATTGATTTAGACAGTTTATTGTAACTGCCCATTGCCATCTTTGGGATTATCACCCCATTTAAATTTAATCCTTCTCTCCTTTGTGCTCCTATTTGTATTGCATTTTACCACTGTTGGAGCACTGTTTCATTTGATCTGTCCCTTGGTTCTCTGGGGGCATAAAGGACCTTTTATTGTGCTTTTCATTTCCCAGCATCATGCCTTCTATGTGATAGATATCTGCGTATATACGTGAAAGTAGAATGGGGTAGGCCCTTTTAATCTGTTGATACAATTTAAAAAAAATATATTGCCAAGGGAATGAGATAGGTGAAGTAATGTAATATACTGTATTTATTTTCAATCCTAGTTATTTATCATTTCAAGACCAATTTTCCTTTCCTCCTCTCAGTTTGTCTGGTTTCTTCACACTGTTGACAGCTGTTTTTGCAGAAGCCAATAGTTTTCCTAGGTTAGGAGGAGAAAATAGGAAACAAATTCACCGCCAAATGTAAATTTATGAAGCCAGTCTTTCAACTAATCAAGTCGAACCTGGCTAGCAATCTGAATAGTAGTGTGTATTCCATTTATGTAGCAGAATGCACGTGAATATGTGTGCGTGTAACAAGAAAGAGAATGAATAGAGAGAAAGGTATGTTCTTTATGTGAATCAAACCTAGAACCATGACACTTTCAAAGAACCCTAACAGGAGTAACTTTATCCAGGACTGGCGTTTAAGATTTTATACTTGAGAGTGTATGTGTATGTGGAATGTGGTTATAGAAAAGGCAAGGGCCTTTTATATATGTTATAGGGTTAATGAGGACGAAGTTTTGGGAAAAGATGTGGGAAAGGCATTGGACTGTTTTGGATTTCATTAGTCAGTACCAACATAATTCTTTGAGATTTAACTTCACTCACTTGAAAAATACATTTACTGGGGCCGGCCCCTTGGCTGAGTGGTTAAGTTCATGTACTCCGCTTCAGTGGCCCAGGGTTTCACTGGTTGGGATCCTGGGAGCAGACCTAGCACCGCTCATGAAGCCATGCTGAGGCAGCATCCCACATAGTAGAACTAGAAGGACCTACAGCTAGAATATATAGCTATATACTGGGGGGCTTTGGAGGGAAGAAGAAAGAAAAGGTCGGCAACAGATGATAGCTCAGGGCCAATCTTTTAAAAAAAAAAAAATTTACTAAGTGACTATAACAGCTAATTCAGATCTAATAAAAATTTGAATTCAGATAATATTTTGAGATTATGGTGACCCAACGTCAGGATGATTTGCAACCAGATAATCTTTTTTGTTAACTTGTGTCTAAGTCTACAATATCAAAGTATAATATGATCTTTTCTCTTTCTTTAGTTACCTGGATTCAAGATGAATATTGATCAAGTTACACTGGTTGGTCAAGTGTTTGAATCGTATGTTTCGGAGTACCACAAGAATGATATTCTACTAATCTTGAAGGAAAGAGATGAAGACGCTCATTACCCAGTTGTGGTTAATGCAATGACACTTTTTGAGACCAACATGGAAATTGGAGAGTATTTCAACGTGTTCCCCAATGAAGTACTAACTATTTTTGACAGCGCTCTGCAAAGATCAGCCTTGACAATCCTCCAGTCCCTTTCTCAGCCTGAAGGTGTCTCTATGAAGCAGAATCTTCATGCCAGGATATCAGGTGAATCACTTAAGGATTTTACTGCCATGTTATTCTCTAGGAAGATTTTGCGAAATCCTAATACTTATTGAATTCAGAGTACTAAGAAATAATTGATATTTACACTTAAAAATATATCCATTGTGTAGTTGATAGTCACTTTTAGAGCCAAATAGTGATTTTATACTGTTTTCTCTGGACATTTGGAAAGCTGGGGTACTAGCCATGCCAGCTGAGAGGAGGGAGAATATGTGGAGACAACAGTATATTTATGTGCACGTATACCCACGTGGGGGTATAAAATTGTAATTAAAGCAGCTTTGTGAGCTTTTGTTATTGGTAACAATAAAATAATTGATAATACAAAGATCTAGAAAAGTGGTAGATGATAGCCAGTGATCTTCAGAACTATTATGGGAAATTCATTATTTTTATGTATCAAATTTAGCATTGTGTTGGCCACCTGTTAGGCACCCAGTAACTTTTTGTTGAATGAATGACAGATTAAGCATCTTAATTTTTAAGAAACTGCAGTGGAGCAATCAACTTGTGGTGGCAAAGCTGTGTCTTTGAATTCCTGCAGTTTATAATTAAGTTGGAGAACACATGTTCCATTTTGTTTAAAAATAAGTATTTATCTTGTAGTACATTTCAGAAAGGTGGGGGTTTATAATTAACAAAACACTGTGATTCTGTGGGCAAGGAAAAAATTTTCCTTTACCCTTCTTCGTTCTTTGATTGGCCTAATAATTAAGTTGACATGAGACAAATTAACAGGAGTAAAACAAATTTAATTACATACATACAGGAACCCCGTAAGAAAATGAGACTCAAGGACAAGTTGAGCAATTGAGACTTGTATGCATCCTGAGCTACGGAGTGGGATAGGGGCCTCGAGCTTCCACGGGGAGGAGAGTAATTCATAGAACAATAGGAAGAGCAGGTGTTTGGTAATTAGGTGTTTGTCCTGCTGTACAGATAGATCATTCAGATAGAAAGTTTTCTCTGATAACAACTCTCTTTCTGGGCCAGGCCCCCTATCTAAATTGTTTTAGGTATTTAAGAGGAAGGTAAAAGTTTCTCTTGACTCTACTGGGTCTTGATTGCCTTCAGCTCAAAGTGATCCACTTGCCAAAGCAGCATATCTTGGGATCACATATTCTGCTTCCCCTCAATTCCAAAAAAGTTAGGAGTCGCTATAGTAGAACTCCTTAGAGACAGATTAAGATTCCGAAAAAGACCAGGCATTTGATTTAATTAAAAAATAGTATCTGCAATTACACTTACTGGAATAAAATTATGAAGATTATAAATCTTTATGCATGAGGACACTAGATACTCTCTAGCAAGGATCAAGAAGAAATGTTCCCTTTTAATAAAGTTGCAAAAGGATTGTTAAAAGGGCTCTAGTTAATGTTGTTGAAATGGTATTTAGAAAATGGTTTTAGGTTGTCCTTATGTTTAGGTACTTTTCCATGCTCAGTGTAAATACTAAAATTTTGTCTGTCTAGGTGACTCTCTTGGTTTCAGTGAATTTAGCCTATTTTTTCAGTTCTTCTCTGAAATGGTAAATTGCAAATTATGTTACTACTATGGTATCATTCATTCCACAAACATATTGTGTGTAGGCCATTCCTAGACTCTCGGGAAACCAAAAAGAATATGGTATATATAGTCCCTCATCTAAAGTAACTCACGGCTGTAGGGGAGATAGCTGTATAGTCAAATACTTAGCAGTTGGGGTATGTGTGTCCAGAGATATGTGTATATGTGCATATTAAACATAATTGTAGGGGCTGGCCCAGTCACATAGTGGTTAGGTTTGCTCCCTTTGCTTCAGTGGCCTGGGGTTCATGGGTTTGGATCCCGGGCACAGACCTACACACCATGCATCAAGCCATGCTGTGGCAGCATCCCATATACAACATAGAGGAAGATGGGCACAGATGTTAGCTCATGGCCACTCTTCCTCACAAAAAAAACAAACCCACCACATAATGGTAAAGTTGCTTAATGGCAGCTTTTGTGTTCTGTGATGCATGCCTCACTCAAGATACGTGCAAGCTATGTTAGCTCACAGAACAGGGAGTGAATTCTCCTAGGGAGTTCACTGGAGGTTTCAAGAGGAGAAGGTAAGGCTAGGGAGAGGTGGGGGTGTCCCAAACAGACTGAACCAGTGATGGAAATAGTCTAGTTTTTAGTATATTGCACCTCCATCTTGGACTCCAGGCAAGGCATTTAGTTATTAAAGCCCAGGATGCCTCTGTGGTTCAGCCTCCTTTGGAATGTAAGACATTTTCCAGTTTGTTTTTCCTGGATATGAATTGTTCTTTGTCTCCTGGGATTTTGATTAGCCTATAGTTTACTTACTATTCCCAATGGTTTTTTTTTTTTTTCCTTTTTTTCCCCAAAGCCCCCCAGTACATAGTTGGATATTCTTCGTTGTGGGTCCTTCTAATTGTGGCATGTGGGACGCCGCCTCAGCATGGTTTGATGAGCAGTGCCATGTCCGCGCCCAGGATTCGAACCAACGAAACACTGGGCCGCCTGCAGTGGAGCACGCGAACTTAACCACTCGGCCACGGGGTCAGCCCCCTCCCCAATGGTTTTGATGAAAGGTGTTCAAATACACAGTTAGCATCAAAGTAAATGAGAAAGAAAAAAATAACATTCCTGTGTTATTTCAAGTAGTGGTTCTCAAACGTTAATGGGGATCAGAATCACCTTTAGGGCTCCTGAGAGCAATGATTGCTGGGCTCACCCATGGAGTCTCTAATTGAAGAGGGCTGGTGTGGGGCCCAAGAATTTGCATTTCTAACAGCTCCCGCTGCTGCTGCTACTGCAGGTCCCGGGACTACATGCTGAAAACCACGGACCTGAAGTAATTGATATGGGCATACCTCTAGCACAGATATGGACATATCTCTGTCCATTTCAAAATTTCTTTGTTTTATCCGTGAATGAGTCAGAGAATGATAAAGGTTTTTTGTTCAGCACTAATGGTGGCTTAGTGTCTGATGTATTCCGAGCTTCACCAGGATAGTTGAAGAGCACACTAGTAATATCTATAGTAAGATGGAAAGATTAAGATAAATTGACATTTCTGTCAAAACCCTTTCTCTTAGCCTTTTTTAGTGCTAGGATTTCAGTTGTATATGGTCAGTTTTGCTTAACGTTATGTTGCCTTTATCTTTGTCCTTTTAAGTTTATTTAAAAATCATAATAATATGAAATGAAAGAAAAGAATCTGAAGACCAAGAAATATACTCACCTCTATTACTCTTTTCTTAAAATAATAGTTATTTACTATACAAAACAACCAGTTAATCTGTCACATTTTAGACTAATTTGCTCAATGCTAAAAAAAAAAAATTTATCCTAAAAGGTACCAGATACATGACTCAGTAAGATGTAAACTGCTCTTTTGTTTCTAATTTGAGAACATTAAGGATGACATATTGCCCTGTACCATAAAAGTATACAAGATAATTAAAAGCTAATTTTCTTAGGAAAATTGGTTGTAAGTATGTTAGACACAGGACCCTTGCTGGGGTTGAGCAGCAAGGGCTTCACTCATCCTGGCCAGACTTATGGGGGAACACAGAGTTGGTGAGCAGGTGAGGGACCCTTGAAACTGAGCCGTGCCTCCCTCCCCCTCCCACGTGCCTTCCTCCCAAGTTTATAATCTCTCCCCAGCACATCACCTTATGCAGACTGAAATAAAGCCAGTTTTGTGTAGACTTGTCATGACCCAGCACGCATAGGCCTCGGTCATCATTTGCAAGGAAAAGAACTCCCTGGAACCAAGGAGTACCTTCCTTTTTACTCTTCCTGGCAGAAGATTCCTCTGACATAAAAGACGTCATTTAGGCAATGGTGCATTCAGTTGACCGTTTTGCTTGACTATTCCATGTGTGTATGTATGTGGGTGCTAGCCTGGACTTAGGGAATTTTTCTTGCAGCAGGGAAAACTTGAGTACACTTTTCCTGGCTGAGTGAACTGGGGAGAGTTCTCCAGTCAAAGTAGAAAGAGTGTCTAAGGAAAGGTACAGAGGTGAGGAACCCCATGATATACACAGAAAAATTAAAGCATTTTGCTCTGGACTGGGAGATTGGAGGCCAGATACAGTAAAGGTAAGGCAAGAGAGAGAGGGAAAGCCCATTCCCCCGTCTCCTTTATTGGCTAATATTTTCCTTATCTCAAAGTGCTCAATAAAGCACTGGGCTGGGCATAGAAGGGCATGAGAAGGATTTCAAGAAGTGACCCTTCCCTGCAGGTATAAAATGGTTAAGCAGCAATGCAAAGCAGTATGTGACTAAGGCCCTGAATGAGTGGCACAGGCAGAAAGTGATTACGAATGTCCCTGTCATGTTGCCATAGCATTGGAGAGGGTCTTGTAGGGTGTGATCTAAGACCAGAAGCCTGAGTCAGTGATAAGAGAGGTTAGGGCATTTCTATAAAATTAGAGGAGGGGATGGGAAGTTTGGTGACTGTTCCCGAAATGTAAGTCCTTTCTATTCTTGGGGTAATGATGTATACACATTAATAGAACTATGGGATTGAGGATTAAATAAGTGGTTTTTCTAGGTTATATGTTGAGAAAGTTATAGCATGCAGAAAATGCAGATATGTGTATATACATAAATTTTTGCCTGAATTTCGAGAGGTTCAGGGCTTTCCTAAAGTCCAGCCAAGGCTTCTAAACAAGAACCTTGATTTAGATGAGACATTAACCTGCATCCTGAGGTCAGTGAGGATGGAAAAGTGTCCAAGATAGGGAGATGGGTAAGCCATTAACTGAGTCAGTTCTGCAAGGCACATGGTAGTCAATCAGTAAATATCAGTTGAAAGAATAAATAAGGAAATACCATTTTTGGATAGAGGGGGGCACAGAGAGTGGAGGGAAATCATGACTACACTTTTTTTGTTGTTGTTGTTGTTGAGGAAGAATCCCTGAGCTAACATCTGTTGCCAGTCTTCCTCTTTTTGCTTGAGGAAGATTGTCGCTGAGCTAGTATCTGTGTCAATCTTCTTCTGTGTTGTATGTGGGACACCACTACAGCATGGCTTGATGAGCAGTGTGTAAGTCGGCTCCCGGGATCTGAACCAGTGAATCCTGGGCCGCCAAAGCAGAGCATGTAAACTTAACCACTACACCACCAGGCCGAGCCCATGATTACACTTTTTGATATACTGAGTTTGCAAGATGATATCTAGTTTGAGACAGTTGGTAGACAAGAGGATATTTGGATACAGAACTTAAGAGACAGATTCTGGCTTAAAAAAAAAAAATAGACCTGGCGCTTGTTGCTATACACATGGGAACTGAAGCCTAGGATGGAGGCCACCCTGTCAGAAAGAGAATGCAAGATCCAGGAGAAGAAAGTTAAAGTATAATCATACCTGTTGTGGTTATTTCTCATGAGCTTGGCAAATGTGATAGATCTGTCTTCAGTGTGCACGCTTATCAGGTTTTGGAGCTACGAAATTCTGAAGACAAGACAATAGATTATGGGACAGGAACCAGCAACAAATGCTACCTCTATAAAACTGTTAGGAGGCAGCCTTTGACCAGCACAGCCAGTATCTCTCTACTCAATGGTGCAGTGTAGCCAAACATGAGAAAGAGGATATTTCCGCATAAAAATTTTCCTTGGCATTTTGCACGTTTATTAATTGTGAAAAACACAAGGGTTTTAAAGGATCAAGTGATGCTCCACTGTCAGATTTATGTATTAATAAATTCTGAACCTAACTAAAAAAAGGCAGTAGCCTTCTAGCACTGGTGGACTCTGTGGTCATTATGCTACCATCTCTTTATCACTCAGCTTTGTGGTTTATTCAGAAAGTCATCACACATCAGTTTATGTGCGGCATGTGGCAGTATATTCTTCATTGAATGTGGTTATAGTTGTATACTGTATTTAGATCCCACTGAGATCGACCTCAAATGAGAATCAGTCCTTCTTTTAACCCTGGTTATTATACCATCTAGATATGTACTTTCAAAAATGAGTCCATTGATAATTATTTGAAATAATTCTCTTCTGTTTTCTTAATTGAGTTGATCAGATTTTTTCTAAAGTAAAACACAAAGATTTTTTTCTGAAATTATACTTTCTCATTCAGGAAATACAAGAATATATTGCATGGAATCAAATTCCAAAGTATAAGTCGATGTGGGTTTTTTTTTTGTTTTTTCTTCATCAGGTTTGCCTGTCTGTCCTGAGCTGGTAAGGGAGCACATCCCTAAAACCAAGGATGTGGGACACTTTTTATCTGTCACTGGGACAGTGATTCGAACAAGTCCGGTGAAGGTGCTGGAGTTTGAGCGGGATTACATGTGTAACAAATGCAAGCACGTATTTGTGGTCAAGGCTGACTTCGAGCAGTACTATACTTTCTGCCGGCCGTCCTCGTGCCCCAGCGTGGAGGGCTGTGATTCTTCAAAATTCACTTGCCTCTCAGGCTTGTCTTCATCTCCAACCAGCTGTAGAGATTATCAGGAAATCAAAATTCAGGAACAGGTAAGTAAATGAGGAAAATAACAAATTTGAAGAAGTGTTTTTCAGCTGTGGGCAAACTGCTTAGGACTAGGGAACACAACAGATTACAAATGGAACTGGTGTCATCATTTTGTGAAAGATCAAGCATGAAACTTGCACATACGTCAATATAGTTTTTAGAGACCATGAAATAATCATCTTTTTAGCTAGAGCATAGGCAAGAGGGGTGTGGAATAAATTAATAATTATGTTAAAATTAAAGAAATGAGTATTTAAGTAGTTCAAACTAGCTGTTCTTAACTAATGGTTAGGAGAAAATTAAATGGGTTTAACTGGTTGTCAAACATTGGAGTGGGCAGAATTTGGGGTTTTGGCCCAATTTTATTTGCTGTGCCAAATCAAGTATTTGTAAACACTCTTCAACAAATGAGAGTGAGGTTGATTGCCTTTACTTGCAGTTTGAACACAAAGGTTTATTCTCTCATCTAAAATAAGTAGGAGATAGGCAGTCCAAGGCTAGCATGTAGGTTCCTCAGTGTTGAGGACTCAGACTCCTTCTGTCTCTGTACCATTCTTTTTTTTTTTTATTGAGTTATTGATAGGTTACAATCTTGTGAAATTTCAATTGTACATTAATGTTTGTCAGTCATGTTGTAGGTGCACCACTTCACCCTTTGTGCCCACCCCCCACCCCACCTTTCCCCTGGTATCCACTAAACTGTTCTTGGTCCATAGTTTTAAATTCCTCATATGAGTGGAGTCATACACAGATTATCTTTCTCTCGCTGGCTTATTTCACTTAACATAATTCTCTCAAGGTCCATCCATGTTATTGCAAATGGAATGATTTTGTTCTGTTTTGCAGCTGAGTAGTATTCCATTGTATATATGTACCACATCTTCTTTAGCCATTCGTCTGTTGATGGGCACTTAGGTTGCTTCCACGTCTTGGCTATTGTAAACAGTGCTGCAATAAACATTGGGGTGCACAGGACTTTTGGGATTGCTGACTTCAGGCTCTTTGGATAAATACCCAGTAGTGGGATGGCTGGATCGTATGGTAGTTCTATTTTTAGTTTTTTGAGGAATCTCCATACTGTTTTCCATAGTGGCTGCACCAGTTTGCATTCCCACCAGCAGTGTATGAGGGTTCCTTTTTCTCCGCAACCTCTCCAACATTTGTTGCTATTAGTTTTAGATATTTTTGTCATTCTAACGGGTGTAAGGTGATATCTTAGTGTAGTTTTGATTTGTGTTTCCCTGATGATCAGCGATGATGAGCATCTTTTCATGTGCCTATTGGCCATCAGTGTATCTTCTTTGGAGAAATGTCTGTTCATGTCTCCAGCCCATTTTTTGATTGGGTTGTTTCATGTTTTGTGGTTGAGTTGCGAGAGTTCTTTATATATTAAGGATATTAAGCCTTTGTCAGATATATGACTTGCAAATATTTTTTCCCAGTTAGTGGGTTGTTTTTTTGTTTCAATCCTGTTTTCATTTGCCTTGAAGAAGCTCTTTAGTCTGATGAAGTCCCATTTGTTTATTCTTTCTATTGTTTCCCTTCTCTGAGAAGGCATGGTGTCCGAAAAGATCCTTTTAATACTGATGTCAAAGAGTGTACTGCCTGCGTTTTCTTCCAGAAGCCTTATGGTTTCAGGTCTCACCTTTAGGTCTTTAATCCATTTTGAGTTTATTTTGGTGAATGGTGAAAAAGAATGGTCAATTTTCATTCTTTTACATGTGGCTTTCCAGTTTTCCCAGCACCATTTGTTGAACAGACTTTCTTTTCTCCATTGTATGCTGTCAGCTCCTTTGTTGAAGATAAGCTGTCCATAGATGTGTGGTTTTATTTCTGGGCTTTCAATTCTGTTCCATTGATGTGTGCACCTGTTTTTGTACCAGTACCATGCTGTTTTGATTACTGTAGCTTTGTAGTATGTTTTGAAGTCAGGGATTGTGATGCCTCCCGTTTTGTTCTTTTTTCTCAGGATTGCTTTAGCAATTCGGGGTCTTTTGTTGCCCCATCTGAATTTTAGGATTCTTTGTTCTAATTCTGTAAAGAATGTCATTGGGATTCTGATTGGGATGGCGTTGAATCTGTAGATTGCTTTAGGTAGAACGGACACTTTAACTATGTTTATTCTTCCAATCCATGTACATGGAATGTCTTTCCATCTCCTTATGTCGTCATCCAATTCTCTCAGAAAGGCCTTGTAATTTTCATTATATAGGTCCTTCACTTCCTTAGTTAAATTTACCCCAAGGTATTTTATTCTTTTTGTTGCGATTGTGAATGGCATTGTATTCTTGAGTTCTTTTTCTGTTGGTTCATTACTGGAGTATAGAAATGCTACTGATTTATGCAAATTGATTTTATACCCTGCAACTTTGCTGTAGTTGTTGATTACTTCTAACAGTTTTCAATGGATTCTTTGGGGTTTTCTATGTATAAGATCATGTCATCTGCAAACAGCGAGAGTTTCACTTCTTCCCTCCCTATTTGGATTCCTTTTATTCCTTTTTCTTGCCTGATTGCTCTGGCCAGGACCTCCAGTACTATGTTAAATAAGAGTGGTGATAGAGGGCATCCTTGTCTCGTTCCTGTTTTCAGGGGGATGGGGTTCAGTTTTTGCCCATTGAGTATGATGTTGGCTATGGGTTTGTCGTATATGGCCTTTATTATGTTGAGGTAGTTTCCTTCTATGCCCATTTTGTTCAGAGTTTTTATCATAAATGGCTGTTGGATCTTGTCAAATGCCTTCTCTGCATCTATTGAGATGATCATGTGGTTTTTATTCCTCAGTTTGTTGATGTGGTATATCACGTTGATTGATTTGCGGATGTTGAACCATCCCTGTGTCCCTGGTATGAATCCCACCTGATCCTGATGTATGAGCCTTTTGATGAATTGCTGAATTCTGGTTGCCAAAATTTTGTTTAGAATTTTTGCATCTATGTTCATCAGTGATATTGGCCTGTAGTTCTCTTTTTTCGTGGTGTCCTTGTCAGGTTTTGGTATCAGCGTGATGTTGGCCTCATAGAATGTGTTAGGAAGTATTCCATCTTCCCTAATTTTTTGGAATAGCTTGAAAAGGATAGGTATTAAATCCTCTCTGAAAGTTTGGTAGAATTCCCCAGGAAAGCCATCTGGTCGTGGGGTTTTATTCTTTGTGATGTTTTTGATTGCTGTTTCAATCTCTTTCCTTGTGATTGGTCTGTTCAAATTGTCTGCCTCTTCTTGAGTGAGCTTTGGGAGATTGTAGGAGTCCAGGAATTTATCCATTTCCTCTAGGTTATCCATTCTGTTGGCATATAGTTTTTTGTAGTATTCTCTTATAATCTGTTGTATTTCTGCAGAGTCTGTTGTTATTTCTCCTCTTTCATTTCTGATTTTGTTTATTTGAGCTTTCTCCCTTTTTTTCTTTGTAAGTCTGGCTAGTGGTTTGTCAATTTTATTTATCCTCTCAAAAAACCAGCTCTTTGTTTCATTGATCCTTTCTACTGCCTTTTTCGTTTCAATAGTATTTATTTCTGCTCTGATTTTTATTATTTCTCTCCTTCTGCTGACTTTGGGCTTCATTTGTTCTTTTTTCTCTAGTTCAGTTAGGTGTGCTTTAAGGTTGCTTATTTGGGATTTTTCTTGTTTGTTAAGATGTGCCTGTATTGCAATGAATTTTCCTCTTAATACAGCTTTTGCTGTATCCCATATGAGTTGGTATGGCATGCTATCATTTTCATTTGTTTCCAGGTATTTTTTGATTTCTTCTTTAATTTCTTCAATGATCCATTGCTTGTTCAGTAGTGTGTTGTTTAGTCTCCACATCTTTGTGCCTTTCTCAGCTTTTTTCTTGTAATTAATTTCTAGCCTTATAGCACTATGATCTGAGAAGATGCTTGTTATTATTTCAATTTTTTTAAATTTGTAGGGGCTTGCCATGTTTCCCAACATATGGTCTATCCTAGAGAATGTTCCATGTGCACTTGAGAAGAATGTGTATTCAGCGCCTTCAGGGTGGAGTGATCTCTATATGTCTGTTAAGTCCAATTGTTTTAGTTTTTCATTCAGCTCCACTATTTCCTTGTTGATTTTCTGTCTGGATGATCTGTCCATTGATGTGAGTGGGGTGTTGAGGTCCCCTACTATTATTGTGTTGTTTTTAACATCTTCCTTTAGGTCTGCTAATAGTTGCTTTATGACGCTTGGTGCTCCTGTGTTGGGTGCATAGATATTTATAAGTGTTATTTCTTCTTGATGAAGTGTCCCTTTGATCATTATATATTGTCCCTCTGTGTCTCTCTTTACCTGTCTTATTTTGAAATCCACTTGGTCTGATATGAGAATTGCAATACCTGCCTTTTTTCCTTGCTATTTGCTTGAAGTATTGTCCTCCAGCCCTTCACCCTGAGTCTGTGTTTGTCCTTGGGGCTGAGGTGTGTTTCCTGGAGGCAACAAATTGTTGGATCTTGTTCTTTAATCCATTTTGCCACTCTGTGTCTTTTTATTGGAGAGTTCAATCCGTTCACTTTGAGAGTGATTATTGATGCATGTGGACTTAATGCTGTCAATCTGTCGCTCATTATCTTGTTTTCCTGTGTTTCTTTTCCTGTGTGCTTTAGACTACCCATTTAATACTGCAATTTCTTATGCTGGGTTTCTTAGATTTTTCCTTATCTATGATTTGTGACTCTGTTCTGTACTTTATTTTAGTGTCTACTTTGAAGTTTGTATTTAGAATCTCGTGTATAATATAGTCTATTCTCTGGTGGTCTCTTACTTACTTGACCAATACTGATTTAGACCCTTTGCTCTTCCCCTCCTAAATAATTATTTTCATTTTTTATTCCAACTCGTCTTATTAATTTGTAGTTAGAGTGCTAAGATCGTCCTTGTTTTGGTAGTTTCCTTATTTTTACCCTAATGCTATAGTTGAATATTTGCTATCCTGTTCTGGTTCTATCCATCGGTCTCCCTAGTCTGTGGATTGTGTCCCCTTTCTCCCTTTTTTCTTTTTTCAAGTATGAGAGCCTTCTTGAGGATTTCTTGTAATGGAGGGCTTTTAGTTACAAATTCCCTTAACTTTTGTTTGTCTGGAAAAGATTTAATTTGTCCCTCATATCTGAAGGAAATTCTTGCTGGATAGAGTATTCTTGGCTGAAGGTTTTTATCCTTTAAAGCTTTGAATATATCACTCCATTCTCTCCTAGCTTGTAGGGTTTCTGTAGAGAAATCCGCTGACAGTCTGATAGGGGCTCCTTTATAGGTTATTCTCTTTTTTTTCTTACTTCCCTGAGTATTCTTTCCTTATCATTCCTATTTGCCAACTTTACTATTATGTGCCTTGCAGTGGGTCTTTTTACATTAACAAATCTAGGAGATCTAAAACCCTCCTCTACACACATTTGTCCGTTGATCCCTAGATTTGGGAAGTTCTCTTCAATAATTTCGTTAAGCACACTTTCTGCTCCATTTCCCTTTTCCATATTCTCGGGAATTCCTATGATCCTTATGTTCTTACTCCTCATTGAATCCATTATCTCTCGGAGATTTTCCTCATTTTTTTTAATTCTTAGTTCTCTTTCTTCCTCTGTCTGGCGCCATTCAGCCTGTCTGTCCTCGATTATGCTGATTTGCTCCTCTATGTTGTCTACATGGGCATTCAGGGAATCCGTATTCTGTTTTATCTGGTCCATTGTGTTTTTCATCTCAAGTAATTCTGTTTGATTCTTCTTTATGATTTCAATCTCTTTTGTGAAGTAACTCCAGAACTCGGCTTGTTTCTCTATCTTTCTCTCTACCTCATTGAGTTTTTTGATTATAGCTGCTCTGAATTCATTATCACTTAGTTTACCTAATTCCAAGTCCTCAGGACTTAATTCTGTGTTTTTATTGTTTTCCTTCTGGTCTGAGGCTTTTATAAATTGCTGGATGGTAGAGGAGCGGTTTTTTCTCATGGTGGTAGAATTCAGTTGCAGTTACAGCCTGTCACCACTAGATGGGGGTCGAGAGCAGCGTGTTATGAGCTCTCCGCCTTGGGGCAAGATGGCTGCGCCCACTGGCTCCGCTGCGGGGGAGGGGCTGTTACTCACACGCGCCGGTCTGGGTTCAGATCAGTTCTGTTCTCTGGTCGCCCAAGGCCTTTGATTTATAGGGTCCCCACGGACAGAAGCTTTCCCCCGTCAGCGAGTCTCCACTGAATCAGCACCAGGAGTCCTGGATGATCCCCCCGTCGTGCGGCCCCTCCCCCACTCCTTCCCGACCCGCGCTGCACCGATCGCAGACTCTAGGGGAGGGAGTGATGTTCTCTCTACCGTTCCAGCGCCTCCGAAGGTGTAAAGCTAGGTTTATGTTCTCCACCTTCTTGGTATTGTAGGTCTCTAACGAGCTGGCATTATGTTTATTCTCTGAAATTCAGTTCTTCCAATCTCTTGTTGTATTTTGGAGGGGAGAGAATCCCAGGTCAGCTCACCCCGCCATTTTGCTCCACCCACTCCCCCCTCTGTACCATTCTTAACCCATGGTTTCTATTCTTATGGTTGTCTATGGTCCAAGAAGGTGACTCCAACTCCGTCACATCTGTATCCTAGTCAGAGAACAGGAGGAAGGAATGCCATCTAAACCAAGTCTCCATTTAAGTAATCTCCCTTGAAGTCTCCTACAGCATATCTGCTTATATCTCATTGGCCAGAACTTAGTCATATGACCACACCTAGCTGCAAGGGAGTCTGGGAGAGAGCGTCTTTTTACTGGGCACATGTCCACATGGAATAAAACCAGGGTTCTATTACTAAGGAATATCAGAGAAACTGAGTAATTTGTTCTGGGTCTTATGACTAGAGATCAGGAAGGAACTGCCTCTATTTTCTAGGTAAGTAATTTTGTTATTATGTTTAGTATTTGGAGCATGTGTTTATTTTGACCATCCACAAGGTAGATTATATTTGGGGATATTTTCCTATTGGTCTTTTTATTTTTCTATATTTTTAGTGTATCCTTAAATTGATAGTAGGCACAGTTTTTAAGACAATTTCATAAATTCCCATCATGATTAAATTGTATGATAATACCAGAGAAATGGAAACAGTAATTTCAAAAACTGCTAGACTTCTGAATACTTAGCATGTATTTCAGCATACTCAGTATCTGTTTTCTTTTCTTGCTAGGTTCAAAGGCTCTCTCTTGGAAGTATTCCACGATCTATGAAGGTTATCCTGGAAGATGACTTAGTAGACAGTTGCAAATCTGGTAAGAATTAACTTTCGTTAGCTCATGTAGCAGGTCCTAAAGTATTGATTAGGAGAAGCCACTTTTGCTTGTTTTATAGATGAAGATCCTGACTTGCCCAAGGTCACTTGGAGAGTTAAGTGGCAGAACTGGAACATGAACCCAGATCTACTGACTGCTAGTCCAGGACTCTCTTCAGTGCACCATAGCTTAATAGCAGCAACTTAAAAAAATGTAGTGGATTTAGTGGGCAGTTATATAAAATGCATCACAGGATGTGACTCCATCAGTTGCTACTGGCACTCTTATTGGTGTCTAGAGAAAGGAGGTGATTGTTTCTGCTCTGTGCAGGTGACACCACTGCAGGAGTTACATTAATTTTGCAGTGTTTCCATTGACCAATTGCCTGAATTGGGAGGGAACTCAAAACCATACTGAATGAAGAACTGTAGTGTTTAGCATGGAGAAGCCTCAGGAAGGACATGACAGCCAACTTACGTTAGTTGGAAGATTGTCATATAGAAATAGAATTGAAATTACAGAAGATATTGTTGGGTTTCAGTGGGTTGAAGCTACAGGAAGGTAGATTTTGACTCATTTCTAATAATCAGAGGTGTCCAACATGGGCCTTGGATGCTGGTGAGTTTCTTTTCTTAGAGACAGTCAAGCAGAGGATGTACAGCATCTTGTTCGTGATGTAGGCCTCATGATGGCAGTTGATCTGGATGATCTACAATGTTTCAGCCTTCAGAGCTGAGCCTCCGAGCTGTTCTGGAAATCCAAGGGCTCCAGAAGCCCAGTCATTGCGATGTCATTCTGAGTTATACTTTGATATTTAGGCCAACCAGGCACCTCCTAAGCTTTCCTCTGCCCCTCTCAACTCACCTTGTCCCTTTTATTCCTCATTGGGGAGCCAGGGAAGAAATCAAACTTAGAAGTATTTGTGGAAGGCTGAGGATTAGTATCAGCCACATCTGTAGAATAGAAGTGTTCTACACTGAATTCTTTTGGTTTTTTTATAGATTTTATTTGTCCTTTTTCTCCCCAAAGCCCTCCGGTACATAGCTGTGTATTTTTAGCTGTGGGTCCTTCTAGTTATGGCATGTGGGATGCCACCTCAGCATGACCTGATGAGCGGTGCCATGTCCACGCCCAGGATTCGAACTGGCGAAAGCCTGGGCTGCTGAAGCGAGCACGGGAACTTAACCACTCAGCCACGGGGCTGGCCCCTCCACTGAATTTTAAAATCATTGTTTTTACAGAGAAAACAGTAAGGAAATATTTTGTTTGAAAAATTAAGATATTAGGAGATTTTGTAAATCAGCAGTGTAGCCCAAGAGGTTAAATACTATTCTCTCTTCTGCAGTAACCACATTTAAAGATAAGAGAGATTCTTAATAAAATTTGATAGGTTTTTTAAATGGATGTGTTGGTGACGTTTGCATATATAATGCAAAATGAGAGACTGAGAGAATAAAGGGTGCTTTCTTCAGCTGTTGGTAGAGGGTAGGGCTGTAACATTTACATGCACTGGTCAGCTCAGGGTGAAGATGTCAGACAGAAGCATACTGCTTTCATAGTGTAGAGCTTAACAGTCTTTTGGGTTTAGAGACTTTCAATCCAAAGCACAGTTATCCTCAGAGCTGCAAAGCTTTCATCAGCATCTCTTAGGCTACTATTTCCAGCCCAAGAAAAGGCGAATGGAAACTTGTTTTCGTAAAGACAGCATCTTCTGCCCCCAACACACATTCCCAAGCCTTGACCAGACCTTTGTCTGTGAGGAGGATATAAGAGCTTATCCATTCTCTTTCTTTTTCTTATTCCGAATAACTTTAAAACTCTTGCTTTTACCATTTGCCTAACAATTTCAACTTGCTATTCAACATTTAAGTTAAACTGAAGATGGGTCAGAAAATGGAACTGATTGTTAAACCTTAGCTGAATTTGTCAACAATTGCGTTTCAGTCACGTCAGCATTCCCTGCTTTAAATATTTCCCATTCTCACTCAAACACCCTTAATCTCTATAAAACAAACAGCACAAGTGTGTCCACCGGGCAGGAACAGGTATGTCCACTCTGCTATTCCACATCCCAGTTGTCCCCTCCTGGGCAGATCAAAAGTACTTTATTTCTCCAAATTCTGTCATTTCCCTTTTCTTAACCCTAAAATTCTCCAAATGCCTCATTTATAAAATATTTACTGAGCTGACATTTCATTAAAAAGATGAGGCAAACACTCTGGAAATAAAAGAGTTCAGTATCTAGAGTCAAGAATAATTCTTTATCAAAGAAGTCCCCTCATCCACCCAAGAATCACCAACCCGTATTTTGAAATTTATGTCAAATATACTAATAGTTTATAGTTGTCTAAACAGTACCCTGGGAAGTAACAGCTCTGATCATAGATTGCTGCCAAAAGGACAAGGCTGTGTCAGAGTACCTTGTTCATATAGGACTGTGGATTTTTACCAAAATCTATCATACCTGGATCAGCAAAGCAGTGCTTATATGAGCTTAGCCTGAACATGAAAATATCCTTTGATAAAGAATAAGGTGTTTTCATGCAGTTCATCCAAACTGAAGTTTTTCAGCACTGAAAAAAATCTTAAGCTATTTTTCTTTTACGTGTCACTAGTAATGAAGAATGGATGGACGCAGTCTGTCAAGAGCTATTTTTTCATTTATCCATAGCTAGGAATCTCTTTGGGAATCAAAGGACATAAATGGCATAATCCTTGCCCTTCAGGAATTTACAGTTGAGTTAGGAACCCCAGTCTGACACTGCAGAGTAATAAAGTTGGAGGTTGTGTGCTGATAACTGTCAGTGCAGCAGGAGCTCGGCGATGGGTCCGACTGGGAATGGCTGCAGCTTTAAATATGCTTCAGAAGATAGAGCAGCACAAAGAGATTGGACTGTATAAAAGTAAGGATTTTAGCTTCCCGAAAATAACGTTGTCTTTAATCACTTTTACTACAGAAATCTTTAAATGACTATCTTTTCGCTTGGACTATCATATACCTCACGATTATTCTGATGACCACATGAATCTGCCATTCAATAAATATTTGAATAAATAAAAACGTGTATATATTAAAAGCTTTATAAAGATATTAGTTGCTCTACAAATGTAGATGTAGTATAATAATACAGCTTAATATTTATTGAGCACTTATTAAATTGTAGGTACTGTATTAAGTAATTTACAAACGTTATCTGACTTAATTCTCACTATAGTCCTACGATGTAAGTATAATTATTCCCATTTTGTAGGTCAAGACATAGGCCCAGTACAGTTCGGTAACTTGGCCAAGGTCACATAGCCAGTGAGTGGGGGAGGTGGGATTTGAATCCAAATCTGACGAGTCAGTGCTCTTGGCCCTTCTTTAGTCCTCTACATTTTCCAATTATCACTGCTTATTAAAGTCAGATTCTTACTAGTGGGTGCTATATCTAAAAGTTAAGTTCCCCATTAAAATCGCCATGGTAGAGGACTGTTCCAAGAGCTCTTAGAGAGTTGCCCCAGTCCTTTTTATCTAAAAAACCAGAGGCAGACAGTATAGTAAATGCTCATTATTCTTGATTGGGTTTGAAAACCATCCAAGCAATGGCTTAGGAAGGATCTTGAAAACATGTGTAAAGCACTTATTTAAGGTGTTTGTCACCATTTATGATGAAGTCGCCTTGTGCTAGAAATATGCTTTCTATTGTGAATTGCTGCCACCAGTGCCATGCATTTAGCATTTACAGAACTCTCTTCTTGAAAATCAAAAGCTCTGCACATTACACATTACACATGGAAATTTAGAGAGTAAAAAGCATTTTGCATCAGCAAATATCATATATTTTGACACAGGTTTGGAAATGAAGATTTGCATGTTTAGTTCAGAGACAATATTTGTTGTGCAAAATATAAATACCAGGATTGGGTTTAGGGTATGTCCAACATCCTATGTTCAACAAGAGTGAAATCTTTGGGGACTAGGATTATGTCTTTTTTCTTTTGGCCCCCTTTTCTTCCGTGCCAAAATATTGAATGCCAAGCACCCATATATGCTTGTTAATTGATGCATTAAACTGTATATAATAATAAGCAGAGATAGCAATGTTTGGAGAATGTGCCTATAAACTACCCTCGGCCTCTTAGGAAAATCTGTAAAAGTTTAATATTCTGCACACCAGGAATGGGAGAGTTTCCTTGGGTGGGAAGGAACAAACCAAGAAGGAACAAGCAGAGTTGTGTCTTGTGCTTTCATAGGTTATGGAACAAGCTTTGAAGAAGAACACGTATTCATTGATTTCTTAGTTTATTCATTCTTTTGTTCATTAAAAAAAGGCAGTGAGTAAAATGTTAAGAAATGTAAGTAAAAATTAATATGTAAGAAACTAAAACTAGTATCGGTGTTAGCACAAGGTTTTCTCCTTTCCTGACACCAAATTGATTATAGTTTAACCTTCTGGCTGCAATTCCCACCTCTTATTTATTTATTTATTATTATTATTTTCCCTGCTTTTATCTCCCTAAATCCCCGCCAGCACATAGTTGTGTATTTTTAGTTGCGGGTCCTTGCAGTTGTGGCATGTGGGACGCCGCCTCAGCGTGGCCTGATGAGCAGTGCCATGTCTGCGCCCAGGATCCAAACCAGTGAAACCCTGGGCCGCCAAAGCAGAGCACGCAAACTTAACCACTCAGCTACAGGGCTGGCCCCCCCACCTCTTATTTAAATGAGAACTATACGGTTAGAGATTCTGAGAGGACAAGCATTTCACCCAATATAATAACAATGAATAAACCATTAAGTAAACTGTTTTCCCAAGGAAGAGTAATAATTTGATGTGATTATCATATGGCAGATTAAGAAAAATAAAAATGCTGACTTTAGCTTTTAGCTGTGCAGATACAAGTGCCTGTAAAGAAAAAAAAAATCAGGAATATGTGATGTTCTTTTGCCCCCAAATTGCTTTCCGGATGAGTATACACCACTCAGCCCTGGTGGGAGAGTGGTTTATTTCTCACTTCTGGTCCGTTGTCATGCGAGTCTTTGCCTAGAGGCAGGATGCTACTGCTGGACTCACTTGGTGCTTTTTCCCAGGCGATGACCTCACTATTTATGGGGTCGTAATGCAACGGTGGAAGCCCTTCCAGCAAGATGTGCGCTGTGAAGTGGAGATAGTCCTGAAAGCTAATTATGTCCAAGTAAATAATGAGCAGTCTGCAGGGATCATCATGGATGAGGAGGTCCGAAAGGAATTTGAAGATTTTTGGGAATACCATAAGACTGATCCTTTTGCAGGTTTGTGATTAAAGGTATAAAACTGATAATTATTAATGGCATTTTGTTCAATAACAGTTAAATATGACATCTGGGATTGGGGGCAGCTTACATGCTGCATAACTCAATGATTGAGTTAGAAGAGTAGTAGCATTAGGACCTCTAGCCAGTCTCCCTTTCAGGCCCTTTTCTGGCACACTCTTTTCTATTTAGAGATCTTACTAGGAAATTAGGCTGAATTCCAAGAGATTTTCCATTTCTAACTATTATTTTAACGTCTTTAATACTGCCAAAATAATTTCAGAGTTTTCTACCTTCTTTACCAGTCAAATATACAGTTCCTCCTTATATAAGCAAAACTCATTCTATTATGAAATCTCATCCTGTTAAAGCCGTTTTCCTTTTCTGGTGTACCTTAGATAATAAAGACAGCTTCACACTATTTTCAATTATCACCTGAAGATTTAAAAATATGGAATAAGTAGGAAAGAGATGAGAGTTAGAAAGATGCAAAAAATAAGCTTTGTCATAGCAGCAGAAATTTTTGACAGTGACCCTAAGAGGTAATTACACAGATGAAAACATTACAGCCTTTGGGTTCATAGACTATTGTTTATTTAAAAATCCCAAACGTATAAAACACCAATTAAATCTTCAAATGTCTGTTTTCATTCTTTCTTGGAGGCATCTTCTGAGAATAATAAACCGAAGCCAGTAATAGACTATTTCTAATAAACTTTACCTCAAATACATAGTGATTATTCTTAAATTACATGCAGAACTGGACAGATACCATTTCACAGAATAAGGCTTTCATTTGCCTAAATATAGGCAGTTTGCTTTTATTTCGTGGGTTGATTTTGTTTTTGCTTGTGTGTGTAGCACATATGTAGTGGTTCCTGATCATTCATTTATCTGATCTATACAGAGAGAACCAAAGGTTTCTCCACTGTGACTTTATTAAGCAAGCCCTTTGAAAATCATATGTATTTTTAAATGAATTTTTTTACTTAAAATTGTCTCATACGATCAGGTCCTTACAAAATCTGCAACTCTTCCTTGGACCATGGTCATTCCTTATTAATTGCAGTGCCACAGCTCAGCTCCATCTAGTAACAGTGAAGGACGGTCATCATCCAGTGCTCTAACCAGACCATCAGAAGTGCTCTGTGCTGGTGACTAAAGAGTCCATCTCGTTTTAATTAGAAGGCTATAGCTGCCCAGCTCATTTACTGGATAAAAGGAAGAAATAAATATAATACCCTTGTGAGAAATCTAAGTAGGAAGACAAGGAGAAAATGAGACAACATTTTTTGTTTTAGTGTGAAGGGATTCTGCTTTCTTAGTTTCTTAAGTACCAGTATCAGCACACTCGCTTCACCATTTCAAAGCGTGTGTGTGTGTTGGGGATGGGGTGAGGTAGGTGAAGGTGGGGAACTGGATCCAACAGGGCGTCTTCATTTTGCTAAAGACAGAGATTACTTCACTGCTTTGCTCTTGGAGGTTGACCTGCTTCATTAAGACCTGATACTGTGGTTATTGACTAGGAGGAGCCAAAGGTTTTATTCTGATCTACATTGACCTCAGGGATCCCTTGACCCTGGCACTTAGATGCTGGATAGAAACCCAAACATAGGGCTTGGGGTCTGTTGGGCCTTCTGAACCCACTCTGGAGTGACTCAGTTATCTTAGATCTGAAAAGCTCTCTTCATTGGGGTAACTGAGGGCCATGCCACAAGAGTGGGTGACTAGGCTGTAGCCACACTTTTAACATGGTCTAGAACCAGAAATTTGGGAAGGAGGGGTAGGGGTAGTAGTCAGTCTAATGCAGTCTCTTCCCCGAAGTAGCCATGGGAACTTCTCTTGCCACAATCCAAGGAATTGAGTTTCTCAAAATTAGACAACAAATTTAGGGTAATGGCCCTTCTCCCTTTGCTTTTCTCTGGTACCTTAGACCTGCCTTCATAGTATCTTTTGTATTGACTACAATGTAAGGAAACCAAGATCAGAAATAAGCACAAGTAATATGGGTAATATAATAGTTAACAGTTAAGTAGCTCCTACTGTGTACCAGGTATTGTATGTTCTGTATGCTGTACGATTAACTCCTTGATCCTCAACAATTCCATGCAATACCATTATTATGTCCATTTTCCAGATAAGGAAATGGAGGCAGAGAGGTTAAGAAACCTGGCCCCAGTCAGACAGCTAGTAAGTAGTAGCACTGGGATTTGAATCCAGGCATCTGACAGAGCCTGTGCTTTTTACCACTGAGATATGCTTCCTGTCAGCACGTTAGTCACTGAATCCACCTTTACTCAGGGAAGCCGGCTCTTTAACAGTTTTGGCTTGAACATGTCCCAGGTCAGTTGGCCTACTGGTAAACTTGCTTGTTGAGCCTATTCCTTCCTTCTTTTCATGTGTAATCTCTCGATTCTGATCAGAATTTACCTACCTGCTGGCAGGTCTTCTTAGCTGCTTAGATCCCAGAACTTTCTTCATCTTTTTTCTCTGGCTTTTTACCTCAGGAAAGGGAGGGATTCCCTCCAGCAGTTAGTGAACTTCCATTCAGGATTTACTTATTCTTTTTTATGGTCCTTTTTACTAAAAGGCTTGCTTTCTTCACCATTTCTGCCATCCCAGGTCACATGACCATGGCTTAGTTGCCACTGAGTCAATTTTGATTCATTACAAAAAGTAGCCTTTGTGTATAGGGCTGTGAATTGTGGAGGAAGGCCCTTTCCTTTCAAGCCTTTGATGGTTTACCAGAAAAGCTTCTGGAAATAAAATCATCAGCTAAAGTAGTACCTGTACAATTATCTTCCTCCTGGAAAGAGCTATCACTGAAACATGAATACCAACTCAGAGATAAAAATAAACGTCCTGAATCATGCAACTTCATTACCAGCATGTGGATACTAATTTCTGGTAACATGAATGTAGACATACAGAGTGCCATCAGAGTAGTGAACTCCATATAAGTTAAGACAGACTCAGGAAAGGCTTGTTGGAACCTCCTGGGTTCTAAGAGCCTCTCTTGGTTGATTAGGCCAGTGACCGAGTGAAACACCTACCTTAGTCATGGATGGGATAGGCAGATTCTCAGATCTGGTGTTTTGACATTTGTGAAAACAGAATCTAAAACAGGGATATTCTCTTATTTAAAGCACACGATCAGAAGCATCTAAGACCTCCAGTTTGGACTGCTGGAGTTGTAGTTTATAATGATCTTAATACTCTGATATCCTAGTAACTTATTTTAATAAAACAGAATTTACCAAACAGCTCAGAGCAAATGCTGAATGGCTTTGCAGGGTGGGTTTATTTTACTTCTCTTCTACCTCTGGAGAAGCTCCATGAGCTCCAAGTACCTCTTGTATTTAAAGGTTACTGACTTATTCTGAGATCGAGCACCTTCCTTTTATTTAGGCAGTGGAGTAATTTTACTGAAATTACTGCACAAAAATTGCAGCTGGTACTGTTTTTGAGGGATAATGTTGGCCTATTCAGGTAGAAAAACAGATTCCTTTCTGTCCCTTCTAAAGTATTATAAACTTACAGAAACTTAAGCAGGTAGCACCCAGGAATAAAAAGCAGACATTTCATCCCAGGGCATTAATAAGAAAAGGACTTTTAGGAGCAAAACAAATATATTCACTCCTTTTAGTCATTTGGAAATAGTCCTCTTGATCATTTTAGATGGGAGTGTGTCTCTAGGAAGATAGGATAGGAAGGGACATTTCAGTTAGGATTTCTTGAAAATTATTGGTAATTTCTGACCTTTCTGCCTTTCCTAGGAAGGAATGAAATATTGGCCAGCTTGTGCCCTCAAGTTTTTGGGATGTATCTAGTAAAGCTTGCTGTGGCCATGGTGCTGGCTGGTGGGATTCAAAGGACCGATGCTACAGGAACACGAGTCAGAGGTTAGTACCTATTTAAAAATTTTGAGAAATATTAACACATACAAGGAGAGAAGCCAGAATTCTTCTTTCCTGAATAAAAATTTCTTGTTGAGCTTTATTTTCCAAATGTTATCTTTTAAAGCTGAAAGCTGTCTGACTAATACTTAGTCCAGCATCAGGAGCTACTTTCTAGAATTTGTCTTTCCAAAAAGAAGTCCTAAGTTTTTCAATGAGTGTGTGTTTTTGCACCAGCCTATAAGGGTGCCACAAAATAAAATCTTTATGTTTCTATTACTGTCTATATTTTTCATTGGGTCCCCTGTCTCTCTTCAAGAGGAAAAGATTAGAAAGAGTGCTTTTTAGTGTCTCCAAGTCAGCGTCTCTCCATCTGTGAGTGTCAGTGTGTTTCTCTCAGACTGCCGCTCTCAGTCATCTGCCTGCTGGTTCCCCTTCTGTGGGTAGGTAGCACATATGCCATCTGCCCTGAGGTGCTGCTCAAGGTCATGCGTTCAAGCAAAGATCACTCTAAGTGTGTAATTATGTCCAGCTGGCAGAAAGCTTTTTTGCGGCTAACACACTTAACTGACCTGAATCTGGCATAGAGTATGTTTATTGTGGCCCTCATGTGGCCTATAATAACCAAAGTCTAAACCAAAAGACTAAAGGGACATTATTGTAAATCAGGCTATTAGTAGGGACTCTAAAACCATAGAGTAGAGTATAGAATAGTAAATATAATAAAGTTTATGTGTATTTGTATATTGTATGTTTTGATCACCTGCTGCTTGCAAGGCACGCTGCTAAATGTTGAGCTTAAATGGGCGTTTATTAATATATTTAGAAAATACTCAAATATTACTGAATAAATTTGATCAGTGAGATAATAGATACTTTATGTTACATTTGAAAAATAAGAGTAAGGGGCTGGCCCCATGGCCGAGTGGTTAAGTTCCCCTGCTCTGCTTTGGTGGCCCAGGGTTTCACTGGTTCGGGTCCTGGGCGTGGACACGGCGCCGCTGGTCAAGCCATGCTGGGGCGGCATCCCACATGTCACAGCTAGAAGGACCCACAACTGAAAAAATAGACAACTATGTACCAGGGGGCTTTGGGGAGAAAAAGGAAAAATAAAATCTTTAAAAAAAAAAGGAAAAATAATAGTACTTGGATAGATATTTCATTAAACTACCAAAATTTTCATAAAAGGAAAAGGTTTTCACTTAACTGTTGGAGTCATAAGTGATTTGATATTTATAAAGCCCTTACAAAGTTTCGAACACTTAAAAAAGTGCCTAAGTAAAAACAATAAAATATTTATATGGCTAGTATGGAAAGATTTAATCACAGCAGTTTGGTATTTAAAAATAGATTAAATAAAATCAGTAATATTATAAGCCAGAATTTTTAAAAATGTTAAACATAGGCCCAAACATCTGGAAATGGCACAGAAATCTATTAAAAGAATTTAGATTTTAAGTGTCATATTCAGAAATCAATTAAAGATTGTTATTTATGATGACAGTTAACCTTTCTAAAGATATTCTAGTTAAAGCCTTCCTCAAATGACCTTAAACAAAAGCATTATATAAAATATAAATTGTGGTGGCATTCCAAGTGGACCATTTTCTTTTTGATTAATTATACTTACTCATGAGTCTTTTCATAGAAATGTAAAACTTTACATTATTTACTTTTTTCTAGGTGAATCTCATCTTTTATTGGTTGGGGATCCTGGCACAGGGAAATCTCAATTCCTCAAATATGCAGCAAAGATTACACCGAGATCTGTGCTCACCACAGGAATTGGATCTACTAGTGCAGGTATTTTACATGACAATTACAATTAATTAAAGGTGACTACAGAAGCTAACACAATGTTTTTTTCCTTATGAAAATCAGTACCTGTAATAGGATAAATTTCAAGCTGATTTTTGAGTTACTGCCAAAAATTGAAGGGAATATGTAGCATTACTTTTGTAGCTCTACAAAAATATTTTAAAAGCTCCACCTTCAGTTAAAGTTATTTTCCAAAAACTTATCCCATATTATCTTTTGCATCTTAGTTTTGAATACTATTCAATTTTCCCATTCTCCAGTGATCAACATCATACATACTTATGCCAGAAAAAGTATGTATCATCTGGCATTTGAATGAAGACACAGCAAACAGAGCACTGAAAGAAATTAAATAGGGGGAAATCTCACTTTACAACAGTAGATAGAAGGGGCCAGCCCTGTGGCCGAGTGGTTAAGTTTGCACACTCCACTGGGGCCGCCCAGGGTTTTGCCGGTTCAGATCCTGGGCGCTGACATGGCAACACTTGTCAGGCCACGTTGAGGCAGTGTCCCACATGCCACAACTAGAGGGACTGCAACTAAGATATACAACTATGTACTGGGGGATTTGGGGAGATAAAAGCAGAAAAAAAAAAAAAGATTGGCAACAGTTGTTAGCTCAGGTGCCAATCTTTAAAAAAAGAAGTAGATAGAAGGTGTAGAGCTTAAGGCATTTCCATGCTTATAGATCTGGTGGGCAACAGTAGCTCTACTGAAAATTCGTCTCAGTATGTGGAAAGCATACTTTCATCATTGTGGAGCTTCATTCATACATTGTAATGATTCTTCAATAAGTAACTGTAAAAGCCTTTGCAGGGGCTGGCCCGGTGGTGGAGTGGTTAAGTTTGCACGTTCCACTTCTGCGGCCCAGGGTTCACCAGTTCGAATTCTGGGTGTGGACATGGCACTGCTTGGCAAGCCATGCTGTGGTAGGTGTCCCACATATAAAAATAAAAATAGTAGAGGAAGATGGGCACGGATCTTAGCTCAGGGCTAATCTTCCTTAATAAAACAGCCTTTGCAGATAGAATGTCAAGATTTGATTAAAAAGTGATTTTAGGAAAAAATTAGTTAAAAAACCTGTTTTGATGCCATTTTGTATTTTTATACCATTTTATTGGGGAAATAGTTCCCTTACTCTTCTGTAATAGGCCCTTGGTTTCACACATTCTACAAATGCTATTTGCTACTTCTTAGGGATACCTAATGTCCATGGCCTGTGCTCAGATTTCTTATGAGAAGCTTACACCTGAAAACTTAGCAGAAAGCAGCAAATGCTCCATTAATGGTCCTACATGATGAGAAGCCCCGTTCTAAGGGGCTCGCAGGTTTTGAAATATAACTAAACAATACATCAAGCACTGACAAGAAGGGGTTTGTGGATTGAGAGGAGTGGACAGCTTTAGGATACTGGAAGGGAAGCAGACAAGAATTTATAAAGAACACTTGACGTGCACTTTAAAGTTCTTATGACCCACTATTAGAGTTCTGTATAAAATGATATCAACAACAAATAAAGGTGTTTCCCAAGTAATTATGTGAAATGTTTCCTAAATTAATTATATGGAATGCCAAGAAATGAGTCCTAGCTAACTTGTGGGCTACTAGTAATTTCAGAGTACTGGGACAGTTTTAAAGTGAATGGCTGCTGATTCACTGTTATTAGCACTTTCTCCTCTTTTTTTAATGCCCAGACAATAATCCAGATATGAGAGAAAAGACAGATCAAGGGAATATAAATTTTATAACTGTAGAAAACTTACTGCTACTTCTCATCTACCCAAAAGGCCAGACTAGAGCCTTTCTTCAAACTGTGTATTACAACCCATTCGAGTCATAAACGTCAATTCAGTGAGTCAAAACCAGCACTTTCAAATGAAATACAATAAAAGATATCAGAATATAGTACACACAGTAAAGCCGCACTATAAGGTGCATTTTCATGAAAATTGTTAATGTAAACACATACTTGTGTTACGGGCTCATACTTAACTTCTTTCAAGTAAAATTTTTTACTATGGATTACAGTAAAAACTTTTGAAAACTGCTGCTATAGACTTTCCTGGTAAAACCAGAAACCCCAAATCTTAAAACCAGAGGGTAAGAGCACATGGAAGCCTAGGGTTACATAAGGTTTTAAGTGAGCAAAAGCGCGAACGCCTCTCAGACTTCCTGCATCTGTTGTCAGCTCCAGTGATATCCTCACTCCCTCGCTTACCTGCTTGTCTCTTCCATGGCCTAAGTAATTTGTTCATGTTTACTTCTCAGGACACAGCTATTTACTTGGTCAAAAAGGGGGAAAAAAAATTTTAAACCTTCTAGCTATAATCCAGATCGTGTCTGTTAATGAGGATAAACAGGGAAAAAAACCGAGGTGCTACAGTTTCTTAGTTCCTGATGTTTGAACTCTAAACCTTTCTATTTTAATTTTAACTTTTTAAAAATTATAGTACCATAAAAATTTTAAATGAGGTAAGTTTTTAAATCTCAAACTTATGTGAAAATTGACTGTCCATTTATAAATTGATGTAAAAACCTAACCCTTTGATGTCAATACAAACCAATCATAATTAATCCGAATAAAAACTCAGCAGTGAATTGCTTTATTTGGTAATTTGGCTTATATATGCTTTATTTCTAATAAGCACATACCTTGTTCCTATTATATTAATCACTGAGCTCTTTGTTGGAAAGTTTTACTTTTATTTTCATATTTTAACATTTTCTTTTAATTGCAATTTGACAAAAATGAAATTTTCTTCATATAGTTTTAACAGTCGGATGTATTTTACTTTTAAAGTCTATGGACTAGTTAGTGGACAGTATTTTAATAATCTTGGTATATTAAATTTAAGAGTTTAACATTTAGCAAAATTTTGCTTCACAAATTCACTTTTCTAGAATGACAGGAAATATATACAACTTAGAATCCACATTCAGACAAATGCCCTTTTCCCTTCCTCAAAATAAAAGCTTTAAAAAGTGCAGTATAAAAGTTTTAGATATGAAGGCACTGCATAACTCTGCATCATATGGCTGATGTCTTGCTTAGCAGCAAGAGTAATGAGAATATTCTACACTTAATTTAATGGAGCATAAGAAACTTTTTGAGGAAGGACCTAGCTCTCATCAAAGAAAAAGAACCTTTTGGCCCATTTATTTAATGCATTCCTTTCCAAGATTGCTTTTAAAAAACTTATCTGGAAAGGCTATCTAGAATATGTCAACCACAAATATGCTTAATATTATTCTGCATGAGTGTCAGGGGATATGGAGAAAAGTACTATATGTGTGAAAATACATATATTTCCAAAATAGTAACTTATCTATTATGATAAACTAAATATACCTTTCCAAATCCACTGTTTTTATTTAAATGCTGCCAACAACAGATGATCTGTCGAAAGAATTTTTAAAAGTTCATAAGTGTTTTTATAAATCTAATGAACAGATCTAAGTCATTATAACCCCCTATTCTTAAACTTAAGGAGTTCAGATCTGCTTTTGACCTGTTGAATTCAGTGGGTAATAATGATGTATGATTCAGGGAGTGTTCCGAGGTCCTAAACTGTTATAAAAACAAAAAACCATAGCCAGAGGACCTTATAAACAGTTAACCACATTTGTTATTATCTTAGAAACCACACTGAATGCTAACATTACATGAACTGTAACAGCAGCCCTAAGAGGCTTCAAGGTGGCCTGGAAAATCAGATCCCAAAGTTCTTGGTAGCATACACTCGACTTCAAATCCCTTCTCTAAGGACATGCCAAAAAAGAATGGAAATTTGCCCCTTAAATTAGACCAAAATATATGCTGTAACAGGAAGAAACATGTTAGTTGAAGTGAACGTTATTCTTTCAAAGGCCCGTTAAATAGTGGTCCAAAGATTACTGTCCAAGAGGCTAAGACATCTTTACAACCTGGCCTAATGATTCGTATTTTTCTTTATAAGTGCTTTAATTACATATAGAGGAGAAGAAAATAATATATATGTTTTAATCAGATTAGTTTTGAACAAATAAAATAACACATTAGAGAAAAAAATTACTTAAAAATAGTTGTATTTATATTCCACAATTTGCTCAAATACTGGTTTTCTTATAAACTTTCTACAGGATGTTTTTTAAACAAATTCTTCACATTGTGTCTTGACTATGTACTTACGGAATTTCAGGGAAATAGTTCTGTGTGTTTTTATAGCTTAATTTTTACTAAAGGGATGGCAGGTGGTCACATGCAGTCCATGTGGGATTCTAACATGACATTTAGTGAGTTTTCTGATGTGGACCATCCCTTCGATGCTGAAGGTAATGCATCTGTTGAAAGAAGTGATTGTAGATTTGGATTACTGCTCTCTGCATCTTCCAGTTTTTCTGTGTTATCTTCCCAATTAATGTGGAATCTTGTGACTCTGGGATTAGATGCCAAAATGTTCCTTTGAAGCTAAAGGAAGAAGGAAAAATATATAAATGGTAATCACTAAGAAAGTTAGATCACCATATAGAAATAGGAGCTTCACAGAAGGATTCTTTATATTAGTACTCCTAAAGGGCTAAGTTCATATACAAAGGTATAAGTCAAATAAAGTATCTTGAACATAACTAATAAACAAGGACTAGGGCTGCAGCAAAGAAATTATTTTAGCCTAATGGAAACAAGATATGAAGAATCTGAGGCAATTCAACCAGATCTTTTAGTAACCAACAAAATATCTAACTCCTCTATATTTCTGTTTCCTACAAGGGAGAGAATCTTCTTTTTTGAAGGCAAAGGCTTCTGAGGATGCTTTATCTGACAAACCAATATGCTTTTTAGATTGATGTGGTATCTCTTCAGTAATATTTTCAAGCAAAATGAAAAATTTCCCCCAGTATAACCTCTTATTATTAGTGGTTTCCTACCTTTTTTTATGACTCATTCTTAAGAGTATTCTAGTTTCTTCTCTTTTTACTATATAAGGTACCATACAGGTAACTGATAA